TGTGAACTTGTTAGCCATTTGTTTATCTTCTTTGGGGAAATATCTATTCAAATCTTTTTTGTCCATTTTTAATTGTGCTATTTGTCATCTTATTATTGAGTTGTAAGAGTTCTTTATATATTTTGTCCCAGCACCATTTGTTGAAAAGACTACATTTTCTCAATTTTTTTGAAAGAGTTTGTGAAGGATTGGTATTATTTTTTCCTTTAATATTTGATATACTTCACCAATAAAGGAATGTGGGCCTGCGCTTTACCTAGTTGGAAAGTTTTTAGCTAACAATTCAATTTCTTGACTTATTACAGGTTTGTTCAAATTATAGCTTTCTTTTAAAATAAGTTTTGGTAATTTGTGTCTTTCTAGAAACTTTTCCATTTCATCTATGTTGTCTAATTTGTTAGAACAAACTTGTTCATAATATTTCCTTATAACCTTTTTAATTTCTGTAGGGTCTGTAGTGATTCCCTTTTTCCTTCTTAATTTTAGTAATTGGGCTTTTTTCCTCTCTTTTTTATTTTCATGGACAGTTTAACTTAAGGTTTGTCAATTCTGTTATCTTTTCAAAGAACCAACTTTTGGTTTCCTTGATATTTCTGTGTGTGTGTGTGTGCGCGCACGCGCGCGCACATGTATGTGTTCCATGCCATTGATTTCTGTTCTCATCTTTATTACATCCTTTCTTCTGTTTACTTTGGATTTCATTTGCACCACTTCTACTAGTTTCTTATGGTGAAAGCTTAGGTTATTGATTTGAGACCTTTCTTCTTCTCTAATATAGGCATTTAAAGACATAAATTTTTCTCTAAGCAATGTTTTAGCTGCATCCTATAAGTTTTGATAAGCTGTGTTTTAATTATTATTTAATTCAAAATATTTTCTAATTTCTCTTGTGACTTCTTCTTTGATGCATGTATTATTTAGAAGTATGTTGTTTTAAATTTCAAAACATTTGGGAATTTCCCAGATTTCTTTCTGTTATTAATTTCTATTTAATTCTGCTGTGATCAGAGAACAGACTTTGTCTGATTTCTTACATAAAATTCTTAAGTTTATATAGATTGTTCTGTGGCCTGGCATATGGTCTATCCTGAAGAATGTCCTAAGTACACTTGAAAAGAATGTATTATGCAGTCCTTGGGTAAAGTATTCTTATCTGTCAGATCAAACTGCTTGATTTCTGTGCCCTTGTCGATTTTCTGTCTAGGTATTCTATCAATTATTAGAGTAGAGCATTGAAATCTTCAGCTATTATGCCAGAATTGTCTATTTCACCTTTCAGTTTTCTGTTTTTGCTTCATGTATGTTGAGGCTCTGTTGTTAGGCCCATATACATTTATAATTGTTATGTCTTCCTGATATGTTGATCTTTTATAATTGTGAAATTTCCTTCTTTGTTTCTAGCAATACTTCTTGTTTTAGGTTCTATCTTATCTGATATTAATTTAGCTACCACCTCTCTTATTGTTACTGTTTGCCTGGTATATCTTTTTCCTTCCTTTGGGCACTCTCCATTCCCCACTGCCCATGTACGTTGCCTCAGCCAGAAATATTGTTGCCCAACTGTGACCAAAATCCCAGGCTAGGAGAGCCATTGGGCTTCCCTGCTCAACACTTCTAAGACTGTCAGTTCCACTGAAAGTACTGTGAACATGGGCATCGCACACTGCTCCAAGTCAAGTGAGCCCCCTTCCACCACCATAGAGAGGCTGGTGGTCCTGAAAGAACCTCTGCATCAACCAAGCTGGGAGGGGAGCACATCAGAGCAGCCTGAGGCCAAACTCCACAGAGTCCCACTGTTCTGATCAGCAGTCAGCAATTTTTCAAGTATAAAAGACTCTCAGTTTATATATACCTTTGATCTTTCCGGAGTGCTAAAACAGTTATTTTTGTCAATTTTGTTCAGTCTTATAGTTGTTTTCTGGGGGAGAGGACTTGCTGATCTCCTTACTCAGCTGTAGTCAGATGAGTCTCCTGAAAACATGTGCATTTGCCTGGTAAACTCCACAAGGTAGGGATTTCTGTCTCTTTTCTTCACTGCTGTTTTCTAAGGGCCCAGGACAACACTCAGTAGAGAGTAAACACTCAATAAAACAAATTTGCATTTTGGTGTCACTAAGAGGGTGTCTAAGGATCCCAAACTCAACAGCAGTAACAGTCAAGTATAGGTATTTTTGGGACTGTAAACAGGATCTCCCAGAGACATCCAAATTCATCTTAATTGAAACTTTTACCAAGATAATTGTAGATTCACACACAGTCATAAGAAATATAGCAGAGAGATCCTGTGTACTCTTTACCTATTTTCTCCCAATGGTTTCTTAAGAATCAGATTTCTGTTGCATTGATTTTCTCTATGGTTTTGCTATTTTCAGTTTCATCAGTTTCTGCTTTGATATTTATTATTTCCTTTTTTGTGCTTGCTTTGGGTTTATTTGGCTCTTTTCCTAATTTCTTGAGCTGAGACTTCAGATTGTTGATCTGAGGCCTTTCCTTATTTCTAATGTAAGCATTTAATGCTATAAATTTCCCCGTCAGCACTGCTTTAGCTGTATCCCATATATTTTCTTATGTTTATTCTCCTTTTTGGTCAATTCTATGTATTTTTTATTTCCTTTGAGACTTTCTCTTTGACCCATGGTTTATTTAAAAGTATGTTGTTTAATTTCCACGTTTAGAGGTTTTCTTGCTGTTGTTTTGTTTTTTATTTCTAGTTTGATTCCATTGTGGTCAGAGAACACATTTTGTATGATTTCAATTGTTTTTAAATTTGTTGAGGTTTGTTTTAAAGCCCAGGATACAGTCTAAGATAGACCACATCTTGTAGTGAATGTCCCGTGGAGGCTAGAAAAACGTGTGTTCCACTGGTGATGGTTGGAGTGCTTGTTCTGTATCAGTTTGGTCCTGTTGGTTGATTGTGTTGTTTAGATGGTCAATATCCTTGCTAATTTTGTGTCTCGCAGGTCTATCAGCTGCTGACAGCGGGTACTGAAGTTGCCAACTATAATTGTGGATTTATCCATTTCTTCCCTCAGCTCTTTCAGTTTTTGCTTTGCGTATTTTGTGGTTCTGTTGTTTGGTGTGTACACATTTAGGACCGTTGTCTTCCTGGTGGATTGATCCTTTTATCACTCTCTAATGTCCCTCTTCGTCTCTAGTAAGCTTCTTTTCTCTGAAGTCTATTTTATCATATATCAGTATACCCACTCCTGATTTCTTTTTACTGTTTGTGTGGTAAATCTATTTCCACCCTTTTATTTCTACCTACCTAGATCACTGTGTTTGGAGTTTCTCATGAAGATCATATAGTTGGGTCATGTTTTTTTTTTTTTAACCAATCTGTCAATCTTTGTCATTTGACTGATGTATTTAAACCATTTACATTCAAGATACATAGAAAGTATGCCACTTTATTATTTGTTTTCTGTGTTTCTCATTCCTGTGTTTCTTTATGTTACTTGAACATATTTTAGGATTCCTTCTTCATTTTTCTATAGTGTTTTTGAGTGTATTTTTTTCATAGTTATTTTAATGGTTGGTTTGGGCATTACAATATCCATATGTGACTTACCACAGTCTACCAGTACCAACATTCTGTCACTTTGAGCAAAGTGTGGAAACCTCACTTCTATTTAGGTCACTTTATCTTCCCCACTTTTAAATATCACAATGCTCTTCTTATCAGAAGGTTTTATAATTTTTATTTCAATCATCAAATATTATTTTTAAAATTCGTGAGAAAAAAATAGTCTACTTATGCACCCATATTTCTGCTCTATCACTCCTTCTTCCTGCCTATGTGCCAATATTTTTTCTTTTCTTTTTTTTTTTTGGTGAGGAAGACCAGTTCTGAGCTAACATCCATTGCCAATCTTCCTCTTTTTGCTGAGGAAGATTGGCCCTGAGCTAACATCTGTGCCCATCTTCCTCTATTTTGTATATGGGATGCCACCACAGCATGGCTTGATGAGTGGTGCATCAGTCCACGCCTGGGATTTGAACCTGTGAACCCCAGTCTGCCGAAGCCGAGCGTGCAAACTTAACCACTATGCCACCGGGCCGGCCTCCAAGATTTTTTCTTTTATTTCAAGAATTTCTTTTAGCTGTTCTTTTAAGGTAAGACTGATAGTGACAAATTCTTTCAGTTTCCCTCCGTCTGAGAATGTCTTCATTTCCCCTTCATTCCTAAAGGATAGTTTTTGCTGGATATAGAATTTGTGGTTGACAATTCTTTTCTTTCAGTGTTTGAAAAATGTGCCACTGCTTTCTGCCCTCCATAGATGCAGATAAAAATGCACTGTCATTCAAGTTTGTGTTCCCCTGTACGTACCACATTGTTTCTCTCCGGCTGCTTTTAAGATTTCTTTCTTTGTCTTTACCTTTAATAATTTTCTTTTTACCACTTTCAGAGTCCTCCTTTGGTTGTCTCTTATATTATTTCCAGGGTTTATAGATGTGCTTAGCAGGAAAGAGCAGGGAGAAATCAACCTATGCCATTTTGTCTGGACCAGAAGTCTCAAATTTTTAAACACCATGAGTTTGCAGCATCTCCTATAACTTTTATGTCACCTGTGAGGAGTGTCTCACCAGCTAAAAGGCTAGCATCTTAGCACATATATTACTACTGGCTGCATTTTGCAAGAATGGGACACAGGACAAGCAAGCATTGGTGGAAGGGGAGTCAAAAGGCATCAAAGTGATTCAGTACAGCTGCCAGCCCCTTCCTAAACAGGCGCAAGCAGCCCTCCAGGAGCAGGTGCCCCGTCTCCCCCAGCATGGGCCAGCATAAGCAGCATGTTCTCTTGACCCTCTAGGGGTGAGAGCCAGGGTATGGAATCTGGAAACACACAAATGCATGCAGAGCACACACATTCAGGCCAATTTGTGGACTAATATGCAGACCTTTAGATATAGATACAAATTTAACCAATTTCTTGGTTAATATCAAAAGAAAATAAAACAGCAAAGAGTTTCATTTGAAAAAAGGAAGAAAATATCCCTACCTGTTCTGAGGGCATTTCACCAAATAATGTCTCACTGTGAAAGGAAAAAGAAAAAGAACATGGTAAATAAATGCTACTTTAGATTTATATGCTCCAGGAATTACCAGGAAATGTAGGTGCCAAGGTGTTGCCCAGATCTTGGCACAAGACAGCTCTCAGGCCTTTCAAACTTCTCTTTGGGTGAGAACAGCAGAGCCATAGCATGGACGCCCCAGTGACTTGATATCGCTCCATCCCTGGATCTAGCCAGGCATGAAGCCACACCCCCCCAGACTTCCTGGTTACATAACCCAAAACATTCATATCTGGCCAAGCCAGGTTGAGCTGGGCTCCAAGCTGAAGAGTCCTGGAGTAATAGAGTCACCCAGCTTCTCAGCTCTGCCTTAGTCATGAGAAAGCCTTCTTGGGGCAAGCTGCGCCAACCTGTCTACACTCCGAAGTTCCTCTCCATAAAATGGGCTTTCATTCTCTGATTAATGCTCCTCCAGGACTAAGAGGAGGCCCTTGGGTAAACAGTCTTAGAGCAAGACAGCCTCCACAGTAGTTCCCCTTGTGAAAAACCAAACAATTCTAGCTACAGAGGAAAATAAGAATACCTAGGCACTCATCCTGACAAGTGTCCAGTCTAAGGCTCTCAGTTGAGCTCACCTCAAATAGAAGGAAACGTGAAACACCCAAGGGCCCTGGGGTCATGCGGTAGGTTGTTACACCTCCCTGTATCTCTCCACACCTTGCGAAACCCCCTCCCATGCTGACTCTGGGCTTGGCCACACAACTTGCTTTAGCCAATGAAACATTAGCCAGTGTGTCACAAGCAGGATAAAAGGCCCTTATGCTCTGAGATTTGCTGTCTCTTGTCGCAGGAAGTCTTCTGCTACCACGTGAAGAAGCCTGGCTAGCCACTGGAAGATGAGGCCACAGGGAGCAGACACAAGTCATCCCAGCTGAGGCCCCAAAGCAGCCAGGCCCCAGCTGACCCACCAGGGGATGGCAGCTGCATGAAGGACTCCAGCTGAGACCAGAAGAGCTGCTCAGCCCAGCACAGCCCAGCCCAAACTGCTGACCCGCGGAACTGCGGGCAAATAAAATAGCTGTTGTTTTAAGCATCTACATTTGGAGTGACCTGGCATGCAGGTGGCCAGTGCAGTTTCCAGACCATCACGGCAGAGGGGGCTTTTAGGCTTATCTGGTCCAACTCCCCATTAGCACCTAAACTCACCTGCGCTCCATTTACTGAGCACTTGACTCTGTGCTGGATAACTTACAGATGCAACAATAATAAAACCATAGTGAGCATTTACTGAATACTTCATATGGTCCTCGCCCTAGTCTAAGCTTATTGTATAAATCAGCTTTAGTCTTTGCACACCCCGAGGCACTCTTAGAAAGGACGGTTTTGAGGAAATCAATTTCTAGATTGTTGCCTTCCATGGTATTCTTTTCTAAGAACTCGTTCTTCTGGAACATGCCTGAGTTCTAGCCGTATTCTTTTCCCTCCCTGCCCTGTCACATCACCCTTTCTACTTCGTAAAGTTAAGGCACGCCTCTCACCTTCCTGACTTGTACTATGGGACCTGTCCTGGGGGTAAAACCTAGTGGGCACCAAACAAGAAATGATTTGAAATATTTGGTGCCAGTGTTGAGAACTCAAGTGACTAACAACTGGGCCACTAAGTTTGCCCAGAGGGGAGGTTTCCAATATTTTGCTTTCAACAAGGATTGAATAATGACCTAAACCAGTTGTCAGCTGGTCTGGTATTAAAAATCATTTTGGATGATAGATCATTATATGACTTTTGACATATAACTTGGAAGCAGTATAAAGTATTGAGCAGTATAAGAAAACTTCATCCATTCCTGCCTCTTTTTATATTGAATGAGGTATTTCAGAGCTAACACCTGTTAAAAAAATAGGAATAGAATTGATGCTGAATTCTATCACTAAACAAATTCTTACAAGGGTATATGAAGTAAAAATAAAAATCCATTTCAATAAAAATACATTTCCAATAAAATGTTACTTCTTATGATTATTAATTATTTATCTAAATTTATAACATATTTATGTGGTTTTGATGAATTTTATACTCATAGTCCAAATCTTACTAATTGTGCAATATTAATAACTCAATCCAGAAAAACAATTTAACACCTAGCAATTTATGGAATAAGGAAAAAAAAATTCTTAATTTAAATTTTTATATACATATTATTTTACAGAGAAGTATAACAGGGTGATCAATACAGGACTTTCAAAACAAAAATTGTATTAAAGTAGGATAAAATTTTGTGGAGGAAGTGGACTGAAGATAAAAGTTCAAGGAGAAAAAGGAACAATATAAAATTTCTACCAGCTAAAGCTTGTCCACAGAGTCTTTTTAAATCAACAGAGGTAGTTATTAAATTCATGACATTTAGATGTAAAAGAGAGATTTGACCATTTCATTTTAAGATGTCAATATGTGTGATGCTCTGGTAGTTACATCTTTTGCAACAATTTACATTTATGATAAAAAAATTTAGATGTCAACAAAAAAAAGGGTACGTAGTTTTTTAAATAATTTTACGGGCTACGCAAGCAAAAACTTTTAAAGACCACAACTTTGTACTCTAATCCAATCTTCACAATAACCTTGCCATTACACCTATTTTACAGTCAAGGACACTTAGGCATAGAGAGGTTAATGCCTTTGCCCAAGGTCACACACATAGTGTTATGGACTGAGCTGTGACCCTCCAAAATTCATATATTGAAGCCCTAAAACCCAATACCTCAGAATATGACTGCATTTGGACATTGCCTTTAAAGAGGTGATTAAGTTAAATGAGGTCATTAGGGTGAGCTCTAATCCAGTATGACTGACGTCCTTATAAGAAGAAGAAATTAGGAAACAGACACGCACAGAGGAAAGGTCACGTGAAGACACAAGGAGTAGACGGCCACCTATGAGCTTTGCCACGGCAGCTGGAGCAAACACATCTAAGAAGAGGCAGAAGAGGGCAGCCTGACTCCAGAGCCCTCTTGTCCTGCTCCACACCACTCTCAGAGAACCTGGGCAGTTGCTGTTAGGGCTCCTACAGACGAAGAAACTGAGTCTCACGGGATAAATGGCTGGCCCATTTGCCACAGCTGGAGCAGGGTAGAGCTGGGGCTGGGCCCTAGAGAATCCCATGCACTGAAGTCCAGTCCAGGGGCAGCGAGGTGAGCAGCCTGGAGATCAGGGGCAGGGAGTATGAGAGAAGCTGGGGGGGGGGGGGGGGGGGAGCTCTCATAACAGTTGGCCATGGGGGCAGGGGGCTGACTCAGAAGGACCAGGAGCCCAGTGAGGACGGTCAGCGCCAGACACAGAAGATGCACGTCTGCCAGCACTTGCCGACGACTGCTTATGAGGTCTCAGCCCCATGAATGCAGCACCGATGTCCCTTTAATGAAGAGGGGACCAAAAGTGATCCTGGACACCAAAGGTGAGACTTATGGGCACCTGAGAAACAGATTTTGCCCAGGATCACCCTTAAACATGCAAAGCATAATCAGCGCCGATTACACAAGACTGTCAACCTGTCTGAGCTTTGGCTCCCCCAGAAGCAGAGCCTGTAAGACAAGGATTCAAGCGTAGAATCTACGTGTGAGATGATCCTGGGACACCTACTGGAGAGTGGGGAACTGAGACCAGGAAGAGAAAGAAGCCAATAAAGGGTGATCCTGGAACCAGTCTCCACCATGAGCCCCGGCCTGGCACCCAGCGCACTTGACCAGAGGCTCCCAGGTCCACGCAAGGCAAACATCCTGCACAGAAATGAAATCTCAGGACACAGCTCTTTTTAATTGGTGATCTTATGGTCTTTAGGACTTTGAAGACTCCAAAAGGAAGGACTGTTTTTCTCACCTTGCCTGATAGGAAGACGCCTATGAGTGCCAGGTCCTGGGCCACCCTTTCTCTGCGTCCTCAGCTGAGGCCATACTGCTCCCAGGCCCCACCTCATGGCTAAACCTCCAAGATGACACGTCCAGGCTGAAGGCTTTGTCATCCCCACCTGGGCCTGTGCCTGACACCACTACCTCCCAGAGACGGGTGATTTGGGGTAGAGGCAGCCGTGCCCCCCAATCTTATCAGACCCTATAGCAGTGTTGGGGCCTCCGAGGTATGGATGACCTTTCCCCCATTCCCCTCCAACTCGCCTGCACATCTTCAAACCTCCAGGCCTTGTAGAGACCCTGAGATAGGACCCGTGGATATTTCTGCTCTGTTCTCCAAGCATTCCACACTCGTGGTGAGCACCATGGTGAGCACCGTGGCAGCCCCTGAGCCAAGGTCCAGTGCATTTGCAGAATGAATGAGCACAGTGCTCTCCCAGCCTCCTCTGGCACCAGCATGGGCAGGGAGCCTTGCAGCCTGGAACAGCACCGCCTGCATTTCCCTGGGGGGAGAGACAGGACCAGGGGTGTGCTCCCTTCCTGCCAGCCCTTTCCTTTGCACAGGAGCATGCTCCCACCGTGCCATGTCCAAGAGCCCAGCCCCCTCCAGGAAGCAGCCCTGCCTGACTATGTTTCCAGGCTGGCACTGTTACAAGGACAGGTCAAGCGTCTCTCTCAGTCACCAACTGGAAAGCTGAAAAGGAGAACTCAATTTTCCACCTCCTGTTCTCTTGGTACAAAGAGCCATTTTATGGCCACATCCATTCAATGAAAAGCACCAGCACATAAAGTTGTCTCTCCAGAGTCACGCTGTCCGATAATCCGATAAGGCAGTCACCAGCCCTAGGTGGCTAGCAAACACTTGAAATGTGACTAGTCCAAAATGAGTGTGCTGGGAGTGTGAAATCGTGCCAGATTTCAAAGACTTAGTGTGAAAGAAGGAATGTAAAATATCTCATTCAGAATCTTTGTATTGACACTTGAAATGATATCTCAGATACAGTAGGTTAAATAAAAGATTCAAATGAATTTCACCTATTTCTTTTTACCTTTTTAATGTGACTACTAAAAAATGTCCAGTTACACGCATGGCACGCATCGTATCTCTGCTCGGGACA